TCTGGACCTATTCTTCTCCATCCAGCATATTGGAGCTCCACGTTGGCGGCGTCTATGGCGCTTGTTACCGTTGGAAATCTGGAAGTTGATGATGGCACACCCAATTGCTCGAGCTCAATGGAACGCATCCAGGCGCGGGATGCTGAGCCGCCGATAAGCGGACAACACACTCTCCTCGAATTCCACATCCCAGGTGGTCTCTGTTCTTTTGCATGTCATATGCCTGGCGCATCGAAGAGAATGGAAATTATCCCTGTCTGTTACACGGTTTTCCATTCGATTTCAGGGACATTTTCTGCCCTGCCGTGTCACTTGAGCGATCTTGGGTCGCCGCGCCGAGTTAGTAGAAGTCATTAGCCCGCCCTTGACATTTGAGAATGCAGTTCCGGTCTTTTGCGCTTCTAAGTAGCCGATTCTCCGTGCTTTTTTGGGTTGATTAATGTGCCATACCGCTCCTGTTCGTTCGCTCCGAACATATGCAAAGATGTCCAATGCTGATCCAAAATCCTCAATATCCGGTTTATTTCTTTCGCCGCGAAGACTGTGACTTTCGTCAGCCCCCGCACCATATACTGCGTTTGCAACTCTTTGTGTGCCTTGCAGTCTTTGACACAAGACGTCACCATTCATATGGCCATTCACAGGTAATGTCTCTCAACAAAGCGGAAGTGGAAAAGAGACAAGCTTTCTAACCCTAACATGTCACCCAAGTCACCTAAATGGGATGACCTAGCAGCCCAGAGCCATCGGAACTTTATACCCTCGTTACGACAAATCCGGCCGAGTTTCGAATAATCAGACCACATCTTGAGTCTGATATCAAATGGCTGCAATGACCGACACAGCTGGAATGGATGTCGCAAACTGTGGTAACTCCGTAGGCACTTATTCCTCATTGCATCTTGTCGAATAGATATTGTACCTCTGCTGCTGCAATCGCATATTCCCAGCCACCCAGCCTCCTGATATTGACGGCGCATATTCACGAAGGACTAGCTTTGGAGAGGGAAGGTAATTTGCCGCGCGTTCACAAACGCAATAGAAAAGCCTGCGGCATCTGACAGTGAGATGAGTCTAGATGAGTAGACTGAAGGTCTCACGTATTTTGTTTCGTGATCATGAGCATACTGTGGCGCTCGGAAGGGGAGCAATAGCTCCACTGGAGACGAAAGTCGGAACACTGCAGGATCAGCTTCGCGGTGCTTCTCGTTGTTCCTCTTATAGCTTTGTCGTAACAGCCAGACCATTGCAGCCCAAGGAGAGAAAGAGCGAAAAGGTCCGGGAGCCCCCAGGATGCCCGATAGTCTCGCCACGGGACACCGGGGAAGGTCGTCCGGGTGGAGGAGGGATTGAGAGGGCTGGACCAGTCTCCGACCATTCAGCAATCTTTCTAATTTTTCGTCTTTTCAGCCAGAGCGGGGTTCTTCCGGGAGAAGGAGCGAATTGGCGTTCAGAAACTGCAAGACGGGCGGAATTGGGGGGTTGGGATTGGCGACAAGTGGAGGGATGATGGTGGGTGAGAGGCAGAAGGGGGGGTGGAAGAAAATGCCTCCCCGGACAATCCCAATGCCCAATGGCTCCCTCTCGCCCATCCCATGCCCCCCCTTTCCCCTCATAGCCTTGCTAGGACTCATTTCCTTTGATCAAAGTTCATTCCGCCGGATGGAAGACTCTCCGCGGAGGGCTATATAAGCCCTCTCCTCGTCCTCCATCCTCCGGTCTTGTTCCTGCTTCCTTTTCTATCTCTCCAGGTCTCTCGTCTGCTTCCTTTCCACTCATCAGAATCATTCATCAACTCTACAGTATCTGCCCTCTGACATACCAGCCCCTTGATAGGCATCAGTCGTTTAACCTTCTTGTCATTGAGCCCACTGTGTCTATTCTCCTCATCGGCTCCAAACCTCTCTTGACAATGGCGACACACCACTATCAGTCTCCCGCTCTTCCCATCAACGTCCCCTCCAAGGCTCCAGCTCCGGCTAGTCTTTATCCTGTCGGTCGAGTGTCGGGATCACCTCCTGATATATCCGACGCCAGCACCACGGCAGGAAGCCGTACCTCCGCTGGATTCAGTTATGCATCCGGAAGCATCGGCGGCGACTATGATTCCAGCTCCGCCTCATACTCTGGGGTCGATGTTGTTGATGTTTTGAATGATCGCATGCAGGATATGTTTGACCCAACACCGTTGGATAAGGGATTGGCGATGCAGGCGCAAGCGTGAGTGTCTAACCTTCGTCGCGGCGAACCCCAATTTGCTATCCTTGGAACCCACAGGATTGGAAGCGGGCAGCATATCAATCTGGGGTTCAAGAAATGAAGTGAGGCTAAAATCCCGAACCATCAGTTCCGGTCAGTTGAATGCGAAGCAGCGCGAGCTGCTCGAGCTGCAAGCTCTTGCACAAAGGCGCCTAAAGGGCGTGCGCGCCAGTTTTGCCGATGGCATCAAAGTCGCTCGAGAAACCAAGCGGGACTTGGAATGGACTCAAAAACGCGTCAAGTAAGCTGCGAATTTATCCCCTGGCATTTTTCGTCTTGCTCCGTATGCAACTGTCGTCAACGGATTCCGCTCCGCTGGCCAGCTGCGCGGACGTCCGCCGCGCTCCGCCGTCAAGATAGTTCTTGGCAGCGTTCAGCGTCCTACTAGTCCCCCTGAAACATGTTCCGTGTGTGATTTGCAGGCGCGATCTACCTCGATACTAGAGCTTCAGACGCTGACTATCGAAACAAGTGCTTTGAAGGCCAAAGCTGAACATGCTCATCCCGATGAATATCGGCGTGCGGCCAAGAAATACACCTTGGACGATAATTGAACAACAAAAAGGGATTGTGTTGGGACTGGTCGAGACGCGTTTGCGAGGCAAACACCCCCGTCAGGACCACGAAAGCTGGCTTTCCGGTAAATTGGCTTCTATGGATTTTGTATTTGGCGTGCTTGATCTCGGGATGGATTGTTTTGATTTGCGATACCGTTTGGCTGGGAGGGTTTCTGGGATGGCCCCTGTCGTCGATGTTCCATTGGCGGCGTATTGTAATATTGTACCTGCTGATATTTGCTGGAAATTTTCAAATTCTGCAATATACCTTCATTTTTCTTGCAGATTCGCAACTGGTTGCATCTCCGAACAAAAGGGCGGGGGAGGTGAGAATGTGTGATCCATAGCTCCGAATAGATCCCGGATGCGCAAGAAGGTGCGCCCGCAACGTTTCAGGTTGACATGGGGAAAAAAAAAACCCCCCCATCACATCACATCACATCCTGTGACGACAAGCGCCAAGTCATGTGCCAGGCTCAGGTCACCTGGGGTCACGATACGGGCACGGTCCTTGGAGATATGTGGTAGGCGCATACCGGTGAAGCAGGAAAACCGACGCCAAGAATGCTATGAAGATATGGTAGATCGAGGGCGAGAACCTCATACCCATATCTTTGCAATTCTGATCCATTCGTCTCAGATTCTGTCGCGAGATGCGAGGAGCAGTGTGACCGGTCAGTTCCGCTGTGCCGACTCCGCCAGCGGGGAAACGCTCGGCCGCCTCCGCTCCACCCCTGTTTTGAGATGATCTCCTTGCCGCTTTTAGAGGCGGAGACGTGCCGAAAAGCTCAGGGATGGAGCCGTCGCCTGCTGCCAGTCATTGTGGCACAGCGCCTCAGCCACAGTGTGCGCGCACCTTGGGTGGATCGACCGGAAAGTGAGATGCCGTGCATATGATGTGCAGCGCTTGTGCTGAGACTGCCCCTGATGCGTTAGATCAGGATTAGGGTCTAGTCTCACTGGTGTGAGAGCCTGAGCTTACTTGAAATTATGAGCCTGTAACTATAGAGCCAAGATTCAGGGGTGCAGTAGATCTGTTGCGTTGTCGCGTGGCATTGCTTGCACCCTACCTCATATAGGAGCATCCGCCATCTGACAAATCAGGCAAACATTAGGCTCTCAATATCCAGAGTAGTCCGATCCGATCAGTAGCTTTAACACGCCTATAAGTCTCGAGGCGAGCAGGAGTGGCAGATGCTCCTCTGACTGCCAGGTCTAGTGGCTTGGCTGCGTGTAGGACCGTATCGCCAGTTTGCGTAGAGATAGATATTAAACAGGGGTTGACTGCTGCAGCGCGGACATATAAAGCCCGTTGACTCTTGTACTGCTAGCCCAGTGTCCTGCTTGTACCACTGAAGCTAATTGATTGTTGCTGAGGCGATCCGAGGTCGTCGGGCGTGGTGGGACTAGAGGAAATGAAACCCCGGATAAAACCCTTCCGTAAGATTGAGTTAGAAGCCGGACCCTAGTGAGGTCTTGTTTCAGGTTATGGCAATGTGAAGTCATGATGGTGTATCAATTGCATTTTGATTTGGAAATCGCTAAGAGGTAGGCCGTTGATGTTCCAGTGGCATGCTACTTACTTTGTTCAGGGGCTAAAGAAGCTGAGCCTAGAAGTAGGTATTACTACTTTGGGAACCAGCCTACTCGACAAACGCCCCCATCTAAGACTACTAATATCATCTTTCTCCAAATTTCAGAAATGGATCGTTATCGGCCCTTAATTCATTGCTCAAAATTCTGACCTGAGGATTGGAATGTCCACTTTGACTGTATAGGTTCGATGAGAAAACTGATTGATCTGCACTACAGAAAGTGCCATGACAGAAGGCACACAGCAACAAACATGAGCGGTGAGATATCTGATCAATAAGGCACCAAGTAGAATAGCATACTTGTTCTCTGTGACTTGCATCAAAGACTTTACAGGATCCGGATTCGTAACGTCACGTAATAAGGATCAGTAAAAAGCTGACTCCCTCGGGCTGCAGTGACCATGGGTGATAATTTCATCCGAGACTGGGAAGCGAACATGATCAAACTGGGAATCCTAGCTTCATACTTGATTGGGAAATTTCATTGTTGATAGGAATGCTAGAAGGCTTCGGAATTACGTCTGTATATTGTCGATTAGCAGCGTATCATTAAACAAAGTACAGACCACCAAATGGTGCAGAGAATAACCTACCAGTAACGCGAAGCACATGTGGTCAAAATAGGCTTAAGGCCCTTCCATGGGCTCTCGACGAAGACAGGCATGAAAATCACAAGATCATTGTGTTGATTCTTCACTCCGATTGACCATTTGAGCAAGTCATTGTGACGAGGAAAACGAGTACCATTAGGTGCGGTATAGCAAACAGAAGACCCAGTCCGTGGCTTCTGTCTGCCTTCGACGGCTTTCTTGGTGAATTCTGTACGCTTGGATGTCTGTACTGCGTTGAGAGTCGGACCGTTCAGGTTCTGTTTCTGCTGACTTTCATCGCTGGGCTTAAATTTCTCCGCAGGCTTGGATACTTTTGCTGCGGACAAATTCGAGGTGCGAGGGTGGTGTAGCTCTTCAACCTCAGCAGCGAGTATGCCTTTAAATTTGTGCACAGATATAGAGACCTCTGGTGTTGTAGGACTAGAAGAGCTAGGTCGTGACGTCTGTTGTGATTCGTGCGGAACGTTGACAGGTTCAGCAACCAACTTGGATGACTTTCTATCACCCGCATGCACAGTGTTAAATCGATTGTTAGCGCTTACAGTAGGTTGAGCGTAGTGATCTAGACCATGCACACATCGCCAACGTGTTAGAGAAGAATATACTGTCACGTAGAACTTCATCTCGAATCTTGAAAGAATTAGTTGAACTCACGAGAATGGAGAGTATTACTCTTCGAGCCGACTTGCTGAGAGCCCTTCGCGTTTGTTCTGGACTGCAAACAATGATGTGGTTTCTCAGCAATGACTGGGGCAGCCTTCAAGCTCGCAGGTTGTGGCAAGTGGTCAATCTTCTGTGCCGAGGCGTGGGGAGAAGGACTGCATTCCTTGTTCGCGTTCTCTCCCTGAGAGGAGGCAGCGTGAGCTTTCCAGTCTTCATACAAGGAAGAGGTGCGCAATCTAGGATGTCTATGATTGGGCATGCCCTGTTCTTTGACTGGAGTAGCCTGAGGAGGTTGGGATGGCACTTCGTAGTTCATGAGAGTCTCGGGAGCCCATTCTTGCAGAAACTCGTATTCCTTCTGTGACGGTGCTCGCTTCAGGATTTGCTTGGGTTGGACAGCGGCGGAAGGCATGATGGACTGCTGCAACACGCGCGTATTTCTGGTCTTGCGGAGGGATCAGTTATGGAAGTGGAGGGGACTAATGAAGATGATGGTTGTCGTAGTGTTGAAGTAAGGTTGAATCCAAAATGGTGGAGGGTAGGGGGTTCTAAGCCAGCGACTAGAGGTCTAAAATGTGAAGAAGCGAGAGAAATCGAAAGCAGTGAAGTGGGTAGTTTCCTCACACAGCATAGGTAGGAAAGTGAATAATTTAATCACGGCAGGGAAGACCAGATCAATCTCGGGTTGCAAGTATCTCCCTCCTGACTGAAGGTGAAGATTTTAGACTTATAATATTAACATTGTCACTTTGAATTATTCTACCTTCACTGTACACTTGGATATACCAGTCTCATTGGCCATAGCTCCTGCTAACTCTATGCAAAACTGTGTTCCTCCTGAATTGCACGGTTGATGACACGCACAAAACGTCCTACCTTATCGACGTCTTGCTTAGCCGTCTCAATTCCCAAAAGCACCTTCTTGACACCAACGCCGATGATCTTTCGTTCAGAGATGTCATCAAGACCCTCCAGTGCTTGCTCAATCTCCTGCGCATCGAAAGCTTCAGATTTCTCCAGGATATATCTCAACTCCTCGAATGTCATAACGTTCGGAACCATGATATCGGCATTGAAGGAGTTGTACACATCCAACTGCTTCAACACAGCTCGTTCCGTGGTGGTTGCCAGAACAAGGAGGCGGCGGCCCTTGCTAGGCTGTTTTCTCAGGCACACCATCAACGTTTGCAAGATGGCGTTGCTGAATCGAGGGCCAATAGGCACCCACTCAATAAGGCGCTCAATATTGTCAACAACGACAACACTCGTACGACTCTTGTAGGCATCATCGAAAATCTTGGTGATGTGCTGAATCTTGGCCATTTCACTATATCCGACCATGTCCTCGGGACTGATCAACTTGATGAAGGGAAAGCCGGAGTCAATGGCGATCCGAGCAGCAAGAGCAGTCTTTCCACTTGCGGTCGGGCCATGCACCAAGACAGAGAAAAGAGGCGAGGACTCGGCATTGCTGACTTGTTTCACGAAAAGCTCTCCTTCCTTGAGAATCTCGTTAATGCCTGGGGAGAAGTGAATAATGCCGTACTGAATGCGACTTGACAGCTCTTCCTCGGAGACACCGAATGCCGGTTTGACTTCATCAAGTGCGTGGTGGAAATCAGCACGGTTGACCTTCATGTTTACGACATCATCACTGACGTTAGCCATCGTCCCGACTTTGATATGCCGTGAGAACGCGAATGATGATGCGGACTTGACAAGACCAGCAATTTCAGCACCAGAAAAGTTCTTGGTCAGCTGAGCCAGTTCAGGCAGATCGACATCATCGTCCATCACACTGTTGTCGCGCATCTTCTGGGTATGGATCTTGAGGATCTGAGCTCGGCCTTTTTCATCGGGAAGGGAGATTTCCATGTGAACTTCAAGACGACCAGGACGCAGGAGTGCCTCATCGATCATGTCCTTTCGGTTGGTCATACCGATGAGTAGGATGTTGTTGAGCTGGTCGACACCATCAAGCTTCGAGAGCAGCTGGTTGACGACGCTATCTCCGACTCCGGTACCGCCACCTGCTCCACTACCACGCTGCTTACAAACAGCATCAAGCTCATCGAAGATGATAATATGAAGGCCACTCTCCTCACCCTTCTCCTTATACTCCTTCTCTGCATCCGCAAAGAGTTTTCGGATATTCTCTTCGGACTGACCGACGTATTTGTTGAGCACTTCGGGTCCATTGATGACCTTGGGTTCTCTGGCATTTAACATCTTTCCAATTTGCCGAGCAATCAGAGTTTTACCTGTTCCTGGAGGACCATAGAGCAGAATACCCTTTACATGCTGAAGACCCAATTTCTCAACAAGCCCTGGGGGGAAGATTCGAGACGCGAAGGCACGACGGAAGATAGTGCTGAACTCCGAGTCGAGACCACCGATGCCCATATTCTCGAACTTGAAATCAGGTTGAATGATGGAGTTTGCGGCAGGCCGACGGTTTGAAGCTTTCAAGTTGATACCAGTACGAGCGTCCTTGAAGAAGGTGATCTGAGAGTGTCTTGTAAGGATTCCTCTGGCAATGGGGCTGGTCTCGACCTGTCCACCATTGGGGTCAGGGGCGCCGGAGGACAAATCAACGCGTTGAACGGTCTTGATCGTCAACAAAAGTGGGATGCTTCGGTGATCCATCAAGATTTTTTGGCCAGGTGCGAATATTTGATTTTCGAAATTCTATTCCTATCAGGACCCGCAGTAAAGTGAGGTGGGATGGAGCATAAACTTACCTTAATCACGACGCTGGCCAGCTCGTCCTGATCATATGGAGTCTCGACTCTCTTCTTGCCAGCGAATCCTACTTCAATATCGGTTGATCCGACGTATGCCTGACCACCCTGGCCGAAAGGATCATAGATCTGCACTTGCACTGAATCCGTGAAGGCGATACCAGCCCATGTTCGCTGAGGATCCGACATGCTAATATGACCCGGGGGAAAGCCATCAAGAGGGCGCGCAGAGAGAACGTAGAGGTCGTTGATGAGAAGAAGAAGGTCGTGTCCATCGCGAGAGGGAGGGAAGTCCTGAGTTGACACCGCGACTCTAAGAAAACTGTCAGAATGTAGGACTTGACCTCGGATTTGCTCAAATCATACAGATTTCCAAAAGTATACACATTGTCCGGGCTCTTTGCAGGCCGCAGCGTCCATGTTTGACCGGAGCTGGCGGGCTTCTCACTCCGTGGCGGCATGTGTGATGGGCTAGGTCTGCCCATAGACTGCGGTGGGGCTCCGTATCCTCCGGGACTAAGAATAAAAATGAGTTAGCAAGTCATCGTTCGAAAGTAAGCCTTGCGTTCTTCATATGCGTACCCTGCAGCAGGATATCCACCCGGCTGGTTAGGGGCCGTGTAACCGTCACCACGCGAGGGGCGAGAGCCGAAAGGGTTGGGCACAGAAGGGTAGTTATTGCGATTAAACATATTTGCTCAAGAATGTGAGAGTGTTGCGCAGACAGCAGATGGAATATAGAGTAGGTAATGGCTGGCTGTGCAGTTGAGCGCGGGGGAGGGGCGATCAAGTGATGCTGCCGGCAGCTGTGGCACAAGTTCAACTAATATATAATAAAGTTTGAACAGTATAGACGAAGTGAATAATGGCCTTCAACAGTTGGACTGCGAAGTATAGTGTTTGTAAAGTTGGAGGATAACCAAGTATGAGGGAATGAGAGTAGTAGGAGTGGCGGTCATGAAGTTGGGGGAAGCTCCTTTCGCAACACATAGACGTAACTGCCAGTTAAGGTACCGTTGCTTAGTCGATCGGCCCGGCGGACTTCCGTTTTCGCCGATCTCTATGACGACTCTTGTGCTCGAGCAATCCATCTTTCCAGTTCAATCATTATACTTGCTCAACAAGACAAGATGCCGCTGTAAGTCTTTCACTCTCATTTCTCTTTGCTTCTGGGTTGCCAAAACTGATATGAATCCTCATGATCCAGACACCTCCTCGGCAAGAAGTCATGGAACGTCTACAACCCAGAGAACATCGCTCGCGTCCGGCGCGACGAGGCGCAGGCCAAAGCTCGGGAGGAGGAAGAGGAGCGTCGCATGCAGGAGGTCGATGCCGAGCGAAGAATTCAAATCCTGCGCGGAGAACGACCCTCAACCCCACCTCCACCGCCGCCGGAGCCTTCTGACTCTTTTGCCGACAAGCAAAAGTCTCACTCGGAAGATGCGGCTCGGCGCAGGAAAAGAAGACGACTGGCTGGGGAGAACGACACGGATAGAGATATCAGATTGGCCCAAGAGGATGCAAAGATAGTGCTGGTCACCCAGGACCAGCAGGCTCGTGTCTTTTCAAGCGATGCACCCCTTCACGATAGCTCCGGGCACATTGACTTGTTCCCTGCGGAAAAAGCCCGCAAACCAGTCGAGAGGAACGAGGAAGCTGAGAAGGAATCTGCTGAGAAGCAACGAAGACTAGAAGATCAATACACGATGCGCTTCTCTAATGCAGCGGGTTTCCGGCAGTCGGTCAATCAAAACCCCTGGTATTCGTCTTCTCGAAATGATACGCAACCATCAGAATTCATGCCAAGCAAGGATGTCTGGGGCAATGAGGATCCTCGAAGAAGAGAACGGGAAAAGGCCAGGTTAGATGCCAACGACCCTCTAGCAGCGATGAAGAAAGGTGTGCAACAGCTCCGGTCTGTTGAGCGCGAGAGGAATAAATGGAACGAGGAACGAAAACGAGAGCTTGAAGAAATGAAATTCACGGAGAGGCGCCGGTCGCATCACCGAAGAAGACGGTCATCGTCGCTAGATAGCCTTGAGTGCTTCAGGCTCGATGCTTCTTCAGATAGCCGTCAGAAACATAATGAAAGAAGCTCCCGTCGACATCATGATCGCAGGGATAGAAGCCGAGATCGCTCGCATCATCGACATTCAGAGGGTAAGTCAGACTCTCATTCTCATCGCCATGACCGTCATAGACGGGCGAAATCAAAAACTCGAGTGAGATAAATTTGAGCATCTACAATACGAATAATGTGCATATTACTCGTCATTATACAATAATGGTGAGAGCGACTCTTCTCCCGGCATTCATTACAACAATTAAGAGAGAAAAGTCACCGTGTTCAAGCTTAGAACTCTTCGTGATCAACGCAAACACAATTCTATTGTTCTTTACCGCATCGAAGAGATTTTTGAGGTTGAAACCTATGGTATTTCATGAAAGATGATCACCATGCGTGTTTGGCTCACTGCAAACTCCACAGCTGAGAGCCCTTCTCGTTTTCAGTACCCCACTCAATACTGATGTCCAATGACCGGGATCCTGCCTCCTTCTTCTGGTAACCGACCTTACCAGTGATCGTTTGACCCTTCTTAAGGGGAGCAGCCTTCTTCTTCTCCTGATCGATGAGGCAGATGGTTTGCTGCCAGTGCGTTTCAGTGCCGTG